CAGTGATGTTCCCTGTATAAGTCCTGAATGGAGGGCAGGTTGGCACCGATTATTTTTTCTGCAGTCTGACTGTCGTTGTAGTCTGCGCCTGTCCTTTTTGGTGGCAGATCCAAACCAGACAGTGATGGAGGTGCAGCGGACAGACTGGATGATGGCCGTGTAGAACTGGATCAGCTGCTCCTTAGGTAGGTTGAGCTTCCTGAGCTGATGCAGGAAGTACATCCTCTGCTGGGCCTTCTTGATGATAGTGTCAGTTTTGGCCTGGGATATAGTGGAACCCAGAAACCTGAAGGATTCCACAGCAGACACAGGGCTGTTGAGTATGGTGATGGGGGGCAGAGTGGGGGGGCTCCACCTGAAGTCCGCGATCATCTTCACAGTTTTGAGCGTGTTAAGCTCCAGGTTGTTCTGACCGCACCAGAGAGCCAGCTGATCTGTAGGCCGACTCATCACCGTCCCGGATGAGGCCGATGACCGTTGTGTCGTCAGCAAACTTCAGGAGTTTGACAGATGGGTCCCCTGAGGTGCAGTCGTTGGTGTAGAGGGAGAAGAGCAGTGGGGACAGCACACACCCCTGGTGGGCGCCAGTGCTGATAGTCCGGGTGCTGGATGTGATGTTTCCCAGCCTCACCTGCTGACTCCTGTCAGTCAGGAAGTCTCTGATCCATTGACAGGTGGAGGCTGGTATAGTGAGCTGGGTGAGTTTGGTGCTGAGGATGTCCGGGATGATGGTGTTGAACGCTGAGCTGAAGTCCACGGAGAGGATCCTTGCATATGTCCCTGGAGAGTCGAGGTGTTGCAGGATGTGATGCAGACCCAAGTTGACTGCATCATCCACTGACCTGTTAGCCCTGTAGGCAAACTGCAGGGGGTCCAGCAGGGGGCCTGTAATGTCCTTCAGGTGGGCCAACACCAGTCTTTCAAAGGACTTCATGACTACAGATGTCAGGGCGATGGGCCTGTAGTCATTCAGTCCAGAGATGGAGTTTTTTTTGGGACCGGGATGACTGTGGAGCGTTTGAAGCAGGAGGGAACTTCACACAGCTCCAGTGATTTGTTGAAGAACTGAGTGAAGATGGGGGGCCAGCTGGTCCGCACAGATTTTCAGGCACGATGGTGAGACCGTCAGGTCCAGGAGCCTTCCTGATCTTCTGCCTTTGGAAGAGGTGGCTCACGTCCTCTTCACAGATCTTGAGGGTAGGTTAGAGGTCAGAGGGGGAAGGTGACTGTTTGAAGATGGTGTCGGAGTGGGGGACATCTGACTAGCCGCCATGAGCAGTAAGAGAACGGACCAGAGGTACAGACAAGTTGGGGGACGAAGCCTGAGGACAGTGGCGCTGAGGTTAGCACAACAAGCAAGATTGGCGTGCGAGCCAGTCACACTGTGGCGAGTGCTAATGAAACAGCGGAGCTGGAAGACCCGCTGCAGGTTCCTGGTCAGTGAATGTCACAACAGCAACGGAGAGACAGTTGTGGATGAGAAAAGGACTGTGTCTTTGTGTCAGCGTTGCGCCGCTGTTGTAATGTAACGTTATGTGAATGGAACCATCAAACTAACTTACATTAAACTTACATCACCCAGATGCGGCGATCACTGGGCAGAAGAAAAAACAAACCCGAGCCCAACCGCTGACCTTCCGATTAACGGCCAACCCGCTCTACCTCCTGAGCCACAGCAATGTAATGTAAATATAGAAGAAACAAATGTGCATTGTCCAAAAAAAGTAACAAGAAAAAGTAACACAAGTAAGTAAAACAAGCTGCTGAGTATTGCGTTATATTCTGTTTGAACTGTCACCTGAATTTTCTGAAAATGTCTCCAGAATGCAGGAAAGTAAGTGTTTCATGCCCAAATTTTCGAGGGCATTGAATATTTCATCAAAATAGTGTTAAAATGTCTTCTGCTTCTCGTGAACCAAATATTGTGCATGTGAGGCCCCTGTCCTGTAAACATACTGTACACACTCCTGATAATTATATTTCAGTGTTCAGAGGAGTCTGACAACTGGTTGTTAAAGAAATGAAGGCGTGACCATGGAGCTGAGGTCAATGAAGCAAATTAGGGATGCAATCTAGTCCTTTTAAGCTAATTAGGAGATGTTTCTTTTGGATTTTAATGAATGAAATACTTATACTAGTAATTATCCAGAGATCCTGTATATATAAAAAAAAAAAAAGATGCATCAAGATGCATCGATAATTGTTTTATAATCGCATCGCAGCCCTCTGAATCGTACTCGAATCGTACCCAGAGATTCCCAACCCTAATAGTTATGCTACATTCACATATTGGATGACCGTGGATTCAGTTTTATTATTTGTGTGAAAATTCTGTGTTTTACAATTTTGCACATTTTGTCATTAGAGTAATTGTGTGGTGGATGATTGAAATTTCAATAAGAGAGTTTTCCAAATTGAATTAATATCAAGGAATTTGATCAAGAAAATATAGAAATATTTGAATGTATATCAAATTATTTATGGGGACCGCTTCATAATAAATGTATTGCAAACAGTAAGTTGTTAAAATACTGTAATACTATTTATACAATTCACAATGAATGAATTTCTGCGGTACATGTATTGTGAATTGGTACCTGTCAAACAGGACAGCCTCCATATGCTGCTGAACACACGGTAAGAAGTGGGTCTGACGGAGGCTACAGCTCTCCTCCGTCGTTGATCTGTCTGTGTCCTCTCTGAAACCCAGAGGACGAATGAGCAGCACCGATAAACACCAGAACAACATTGCGGAACTTAAGTTCAAATTAACTTAACTTTAGAGGCGACGAGCGAGAAGCTAATTAATTTCCTGTGTGGGAGAAAACAGCTTTATCTCGTGTCGTGTAGAAATGTTGCAATTAACACCTGTGCCAGGTCGGGAAAGTGGCCTTGTATGGTCCGTCAATATCCAAGAGGGTTATTACTCCTGGGGATGGGACTTCTGAGAGAGAACCATCTAACTGTTGAGCGGTTTAGCTTAGTCCTCTATCTTGCATTTGGTTTATTCTCTTGTGGGATCTTATCTCAACATGTCAGACACGAGGCTGTACGCGGCTCATCTGTAGTATGGGCCTTTTTTCTCTGTGCTCTGCCTCCCCCATCTCCTGTGCTGTGCGTCCCCTGACCGTCTCCATAGTCTCGTAGTTATGTTTGTGTCATGTCTTATAAGTCAATAAATATAATCTTGTATTGAGTACCAATTATTAAATTCGTTGCCAACAAATTTAATAATCAATTTGTTCATGACGTCATCGGGCCGTAGCAACACCATCCGCTAGGGCTGGACGTTATGGCAAAAATGTTATCGCGATAAAAAGTTTCATATCTTTATAATTAATTATTATAGCCCTACCGTCAGCTTAATGGAGTAAAGTGATGTGAACAGTAAAGTTAATTAAACAACACAATATCAGTGATAGTATTAACACCATCACAACCTAAAACCTCCAGAGTGCAGGAGCACTTGACTTTTCACTCGGCCAAAAGGTTGTGAACTGCAACATTTCCAAAGCACGTCAGTTATGCCAGATAATCTGAAAAGATGGCACGTAATGTCGGCTCTCTGGACGAGGAAGACTCGTCTCGGTACACTAGTTGGCAAGCTAGCTCCAATCAAACAATGCATCGCTCATGCCGACGTTTCCAGCTGGAGAACGACGACACCGGACAATTTCATACTTTCTAAAGAAGAGAAAACGGTACTCTTGTCTCTGCATGAGGTGGCAGCAGTGGCGGCTCCTGCCAAATCTCTCAGAGGGGGCAATTAATAATAACTATCAATATTTTTTTTTACAGTTTCACAGTTATTAGCTTAGCCTCTGGCATTTTACGGAGCATAAATTAGCCTAGTAGCTAGCGGACTTTTCCTCTCCTCGTAGCCTAACAAATTACATGTATTATTTATACTGTGTCTTACTCACCGCTGGTAAAGTCACTGCGTCTCCCTACACAACACCACGGTTGAATTTTCAGCTTGAACATACATTTTCTACAGCTGCTGGTCGTAATGACAGCAACAAGCTATAGGACTGCCGAGTCGTTTTCAGGTGGCAGAAGCGTAGCTCTGCTGCTGGGCGCATGACGTAAACACGTAACTGCGAGCCCTCCCGGAACCCGCAGAGATTGCATTGCAGCGGCCGCTGCTCGAAAAAAAAACTGCCTTTACATGAAAGTCTATGAGAGCGATCTGGGCGATTTTCAACCAGACTGAATTTGCCCCAAAAGAGGTGGGACTCCGCGGAACACGACTTCACGCTGATTGGACAGCGATATTCAGAGACAAACTGTCTATCAAAAACACAGCTGTCACAGCTCACTAACAGTGTGGTAGAAAGTGTGAGAAAAATATCCCCTGCCTTTCCTGGGTGGCAGGTAAAAAAAAATAGGTTTAGGGGAGACGGTATAAATTTTATGAAACCCTGTCCACTACAAAACCATTATTGTTGGTCCCCTCTTGTAATTTCGGCCTTCAAAACAGACCCACCCACATCTGTTTACTTGGAACTGCCAGTCTGCAGTCAACAAAGCTGACTTTATCACTGCTTATGTTAATACATTATCTCTTAGGCACTCACTGAGACCTGGATCAAACCAGAAAACTCTGTTATCCCCGCTGCGCTGTCCACCAATTACTCTTTCACCTACGCCTGGGACCAGGCTCTTAATTTCCAACAAAAGGAAATTCACACAGCTGCTACCACCAAATCAATATGCCTCCTTCAAATATCATGCTGTCTCGGAATCCGCTCCGGTAAAGGTCTCTATGATTGTCATACCGTCCACCAGGACAAGTGCGTAACTTTGTGGTAGAGCTAGACACACTGCTGTCTTCAATCCCAGAGCAGGACGTTACTTGTCCTCGGTGACGTGAACATTCACTTAGACAAATGAAAATCTGCAGACTTCCTGTCTCCGATTCAGTCCTTTGATCTAATACAGGCTCTCAGCCCCCCGACCCGCAAAGCTGGCAAGGTCACACCTCTACACATGTCTGACCACTGTTTCATCCAGTTCATGGTATGCCTACAGGAACAGTCCATTGTTCCAGCATCTTATGCCTCACAACGACGCAACCTTTGCAACCTGTCTCCCACTCACTATGCCTCAGTGGTGGCTTCCGCGCTACCTCCCCTCAACACATTTTCCTCACTTAAGGTCAATAATGCCGCACAATCTCTTTGCTCTACACTGAGCTCATGTCTGGGTAGTGCCATGCCTGTGTCCTCTATCCACCAAACCTGCTCGCCAGAAACAGTCCCACCTGAGACTACTACCATCCGCGCGCTCCGTACTGATCTCAGAGCCGCTGAAAGAAAATGGCGAAAAACCAAAGACAATGCCGACCTTAAGGGCTATCAGTTGCTCCTGGTGCAAAAGGCTCAACACCAAGGCTAACATGTAGCAGTCCTATTACATCTGTTCCTCTCTCCTCCCTGCTACGCAGATGACATCTTGGCGTCTCAGACTGTCTCTTGGACATTTCCGCATGGATGAAGGCTTGCCACCTTCAACTAAACCTCTCTAAGACTGAACGCTTGGTCATTCCAGCCAAGCAATCTATCCACCATTACATCAAACTACAAATTGACTCCTCATCACTCCAACCAGGTTGGTGAGAAACTTGGGTGTCATGATTGGTGACCAGCTGTCCTTTTCAGACCTTGTTGCTGCTGTCTCCCGGTTGTGCTGCTTTGCTCTATACAACATCAGGAAAATCGGGCCCTACCTCACTCCGTACGCCACCCAAGCGTGCAATCCCAAAGCAATCCCAGTCCCGGGTGTTCTCATCTGTAACACCACAATGGTGGAACGAGCTACCACACGCCATCAGAGCAGGTGGTCCCTCTCTAACTTCAAGAAGCTCTTAAACTCATCTCATCCACTAACACTTCCTCTTATAACACAGCTAACTCCTAACCTCTAACATTTCTTCTTCTATCCCCTTACAACTATGTTGTATTGACTGAACTTTTTTCCCTAGGTATTTACCCCATTGATGCGATATCTTATATTAGCTGTTGTAGATCTCGTGCTGTATTTGGCGCTTGGATGTTGTTCCTCAAATGTAAGTCGCTTTGGCTAAAAATGTCTGTCAAATGAGTTATTTTAATGAAGTTATTCTTTTCTTTGTATAAATATAGTGTCTGTTTCAGACTAACTGGCTACCATTAAGTACAATATTTTTACACTACTGTACCTTGTAATGTGTATTTAGAATACAGATGCAACAGTCCACTTTCATACTACTTCTATTTATTTTTTATTAAGTGCTTCTAAGTTTCACAAGCCGAGAACGTTGATTATGTCGACTAATTGTTGCAGCCCTACCTGATGTGCAATCTCAGTCCGACATTGGCGCGACTTGTGTGCTATCTGTGTTGAGTTAGAGTGAGCCTCTCCTTGACCCTTCAGAAATGCACTGCAAGTCTGCATTGCAGTTTGGTTTTTCACAGGTGGTAATGCATTAGTCAGACTTGAACATTGTGGGGTGTGTTCCACAGACATGCTCTAAATGTCATCTATGGTTCTAAATAGTGGGATGTCACTGTGGAGCGAGCTAACTGTCTGTCTTTCTCTCTGTATGTCTGTCAATGTAGAAACGGAGAGGAGGAGATGGACTCAAACGTCACCACTGTCAGCTCTGTGACAAATCCTTTAAAGCATGCTGGTATTTGAAGATTCATCAGAGAGTTCACACTGGAGAGAAACCGTACAGCTGTGACCAGTGTGAGAAAGCGTTCACTACATCAGGTGACCTAAGAATCCACCAACGTGTTCACACTGGAGAGAAACCCTACAGCTGTGTACAATGTGGGAAAGCTTTCACTCAATCAAGTCACCTAAAAATCCACCAACGTGTTCACACTGGAGAGAAACCGTACAGCTGTGACCAGTGTGGGAAAACATTCATTTCATCAGGTGGCCTAGAAATGCACCACCGTGTTCACACTGGAGAGAAACCGTACTGGTGTGACCAATGTGGGAAATTTTTCACTAGTTTTAGGAGCCTATATGTCCACAGACGTGTTCACACGGGAGAGAAACCATACAGGTGTGACCAGTGTGGGAAAACATTTGCTACAGCAGATGAATTAAAAAAGCACTATCGTGTTCACACTGGAGAGAAACCTTATAAGTGTGACCAATGTGGGAAAGCATTCACTACATCAGGGAACCTGAAAGTCCACCAACGTGTTCACACTGGAGAGAAACCATACAACTGTGACCAATGTGGGAAAGTTTTCACACAATCAAGTGAACTAAAAATCCACCAACGTTTTCACACTGGAGAAAAACCGTACAGCTGTGACCAGTGTGAGAAAACTTTCTTTACATCAGGGAAACTAAAAATCCATCAACGTGTTCACACTGGAGAAAAACCCTACAGTTGTGACAAATGTGGGAAAGCTTTTACTGCATCAGGTGAACTAAATATCCACCGGCGTGTTCACACTGGGAATAAACCGTACTGGTGTGACCAATGTGGGAAAGTTTTCTCTAAATCAAGTACATTAAATGTCCACCAACGTGTTCACACCCGGGATAAACCATACAGCTGTGACCAATGTGAGAAAACCTTTACGCAGTCTGGTAACCTTAAACGCCACCAACGCATTCACACTGCTTCGGTTTAAACATTTTTCAGATCCAAACAAGCTGTTTCCTCTTGCCCTGATAGCTGTGTTGTTTTATTAGCAAGCATAGTGTTAGCTCAGGCAGGCAATGAAGTCAAGCTCTGCTCTCAATCCCAGCCCCATCAGCTGATTCCTCTCTTAGCATTAGTTGTTAAATAAGATACCTTATATTCAACTTAAGCTGCTATAGTCTGCTTGCCCTTGCTGCTTCTTCTGCAAGCACCTCAGAAGCACCAGACAAGAAACTGTTTCAGCCGCTGATCCTCGAGGCCCAGCCCAGCAGCCCACTCCACAGTGGATAATCATCCTGACAACTGGTCCAGGATCCATTAATCGCTCGCCAGCACAAACTATATCCAAGACCTGGCAAGTCAAGTTTTCCTGGCACAGCTGGCTGTTTTCCTCCCCGGGTGCAGGCCTGTGACGCCCGGCGATTACTTCCCTCTGGCAGCATCTGAGGTATCACTGTCCCTCAGAGATCGCTGTGAAGAGCAGTTCCAGTCTCCTCTGTGGGTTCCTTTTGTTCTTTGTCCTGCCACAATCTCTCCCTGAGCTGAGAAAAGCTCTGGGGAAACATCCCCACACCTTCCTGTCAAATAGTTGATTGCAGGATTGGTTCAGGGGCCTGACTTGGTTGCCAAGTGTCATTTTTTTGTAAAAATTAAAAGTCACATTAATTATTTTAATGTAGTAAGCTAACGCTAAAGCCTCGAATGTACTCAAAGCGGACGCATACACGGACATCTGAGGACACAAGGGACTACTTCTAAACTACTGTCAGGTCGGCGGACTCGCTCCACACATGTGTGTTTGTTTTTGGGGACTTTCCATTTAGGCACGTGGAAGGGAGATCCCAGAACAGAGCCAAACTTAACGCTTCTTTGATGAAAGTTGTCCTGACTGAACTGATTTTCTCTACAAACTGAGGGGGAGACAACAGTAACTTTATATTCTGATCAGCATGTATGTTATCGTGGCTGCGACTACGTACTGTGCTGCCCCTCTCACCATAATCCTGTTGTCGTCACACACAAAGAGGCCACACCTCCAACCCCCGTCCAGGAAGAAGTGCGTTTTAAGGATTCCTGATCTACTTGGCCTTTTACTTTCCAAAGAAAAAAATAGCTACTTTGTTCTTTATGTAAATTTGTTGAATGTTTATGAGCCATCTCTTTATTCATGTAGTTTAGTTTTCATCCCACCTAAAATTTACTTTTACTGTTCTTGTAATTCATGCAAGAAAATATTGCTAGCACTTTTCAACCTTCACTACAATGGAGTATTTTCTCACAGTCCATTAATCTGTCATGTTATCGCTCAGGTATTTTCAAACTGCTTGTTTTGTCCATCTTTAAACCTTTAAAACTGTTCAGTTTATTATCAAGTAAGACAAAGAAAAGAAGCAAGTCTTCATAACTAAGAAACTGGAATCACAATATAGTCGATTACGATTGTTAATCAAAACAAATCTTCTGCCAATGCAGGGCTCTACAGTGCAACCATTTTGCTCGCATATGCCCCTAAAAATCAAATGTGTGAACCGGAAAAATGATTTATGAGCACAATGTGCAAGTAACTTACCAGAAAGATTTCCACTGCTGCAACGTTCCCCTGGTTTTACTGAAGTTATTGTAATACTATTCAGTAGTCTTGTTTATATCAGGTGTGTAGTGGGTTGTGTGGGTGCTGCTGGTGGATTGTGAATCCGTCCCTGGTTCAAAAACTACACAAGCACCAATTACAGTAACGTTTATTGTGAGTGTTTTAAAAGCTTTTTTCAGTGTATCAAATTTTCAAAACATCTGTTTCAGTATTTTAGAAATCCTTTACAAATTATTAAGGCCGATGCCGAGTGACCAGATAACAGGGTCTTCACTTCCGTACTCCTCCAATGGTTTCACCCCATAGTTGAACACAAGGAGAAAGACAACACACGTAGAATTAATATGTATATAATCAATAGTTTGTTTAACTCTGTTACTTGAACATTCTGCTGTGCTCCAAAAAAGGTTAGCGTAGAGCCCTGCAATGGATCGGGCTCAGTTGTCATCTCCTCGGAGGAGGTTTACTTCAACTGTAAGTGTACTTCTGCGTCAAATCGACGGCATAGGGGGCTACGCCGTCGCCTGACATGCATGTCCTCAAAAATTTAGCTACACGCCGAGTCGACGGGGACCATAAGCTCTGTGATTGGTCGGCTGGGTAGCCTCGCAATGCCGCTAAACTAACGGAGCGCTAAGAATAAGTATAAATGCCTGGCTACGTGCGTAGACCCTACGCAGGAGTAGAAATCAAGCTTAACTCTTCCCCTCCTGCAGAGCCTGAATCGGCTTTTTTGACACGCCGTTTCATTTCCTCGTTCATACTGTGTCGATCTCAAAGCTGCAGATCATTGGCAGAAGGAAACAAAACGATCTAAATCATGGTTGTATTAGTTTGTTACCCACACATGGTCTTCCACATGACTGCTTTTGGACAGAGGCAGCGATCTGTGGACATTGCGAGTCACCCTCAGAATTAAATATATGGGTGATGCTGTCCTTCATTTGACTCTGTGGACATTAAGGCAGCTGTCAGGTTGTCAGGCTAAAACATTTACTGTGGGCTACAACTTCAGTAATCACCGTTTAAATCAAACTAATCTGTATTAAGCTGTAACCTAAATGAACAGTCATCTGTCATGTTGTGATTAGTCGCACTGATTGGATCGTAGTTATCATGCTGGAGCTGATGTGAATGTTTCTGAGTGAGGATGACAGGGGTGCAGTTGGAACAAATAAAGTGAGTTTGTTAATATTATCTGCTTATAGTCTTAATGTGTTTTGACCAAATTTTATTAAATATGAAATGAGCAAGATTTTTAAATGTAAACTAGAAGTCTAAAAGTCAGTTAGACACATTTTCCACAGAAAGAAAATAATGAATAGCCTGCTGTGTGGGACTGTGGCTTTACAATCACAGGTCCATGAGTAAACTGTGTCTAACGTTGTAGTGCATGTATTCTACATATACGTCTGTAGCATTAAATGTCTTATCTGTTTCTCTGGGTCAGACTCTGTAATCGCCCTCTGGTGTATGACACTCTTTTAATAAATATCACAAAGACAACTGTTTGTTGTAACTTCTTTATTTGTTTCTTCTTAAGGAAATATACAATTTCCACCACCAATCAGTTAAAAACCGCTCTGATAATAATGTCGCCTCCACCAATTTTATTTAGATTTTATGAACTTTAATGAATCCCTAAGGGCAGGACTAAACTCGCCAGCCGCTTGGATCCTGAAGGAAGTTCGTTACTCCCAACATAACGTCTTCATACCGACAGAAGACTCAGATGCACTGTTCTTTTACTGAGAGAAGAAAAGCCTCTCTTCAGAGTCAACGCCGCTGTTTCCTCTCGCTGCCACCGAAGGATCAGCTGTGCATTGACCGCGTTGCCAGTACGTTAAGAGATTAAGATTGAGATTAAGTATTTGTAGGGTTGCCTCCTCCTCCCTATATAGTGAGTTGTATGTAGAGGATTACATAGTGAGCTCACCCTGTTGGGTCAGATGTACAACTAGGCTGGGCCAGTTGAGCCTGGTCCCCACCTTCACCAGCTTTATAAACTGTGTCAAAAAATACTCCATTAACTTTCTATTGGAGTCAATAAGTTTGCAATCAAAAACTTCTCTGGAGACGGTCAAGAGTCGGCGCAAAAGAGTTTATTCCAAAACAGGACAGATAAACCCGTACAACATCCCAGCAGGTCAGAGGATGGAGTCAATCCTCCGGTCTGCAGACAGTCTAATATATCCCCCTCTGGGCTGGTTTGCCCCTTCCTTATGATGAACTTCTTTGTTTTTACCAATTAACACTGTTCCCCAGCTGTCATTTATTACTGTATTGTTGACTTTCTATATCTTTATATCTGACGTGATTTCAGCAACCCTGTGTCGCTTTTCTGCCAAGCAAAAATTCCTTCAGCAAGTTCACTCAAAGTTCACGCAGTCTATAACAACCAGAGGTTGGAAGTTGACAATCGACCTCTTAATCAGTAATTAAGCACGTAGTCTTAATATCAGCAGACTAACACATCAACAGTTCCTCATGTAGTCATAACAACAGTAGATAACAGCAGAACAAAGCTCAGTACTTATATTATATATTACTTATACTGATATGATTATACTTATAATCAGTAATGATTAATGATGAATACTAATAAAAATGATTAAGAATGATTATTAATACTGATTAGAGATAATCACTGATGACTCAAAACCCTGACTTTGTGGAATAAGCTGGTGTCTCTTGTACTGTTCTCTATAGACAGGACATTCTTACTGTATTTATGTACATTTTGTAACACAATTTTCACTAATTCTGCTTCTACATTTTCCTTTGCTGGTGTTTTCGATGATGCCTTGCTGTTACACACACACACTCAGAGCTATAGAGTCTTAACACTGTGATCTTAACTTTACACTATAAAATAATACTTTAAATGATGACAATGCAGAACACCTTCACTCTAGTGAATATTATAACAATTTAGGCTGTAATGCTCTAAAATAATTCTCAACAACCCGCATAATGCAAACAACACTTTTAGGCACTACTCCCGTCAGTATTTCAGCACTGTTAATTACGTCATTCCCGTCGGACAATCAGTTGGTGGACTGTTTTTTCTATCAGAGCAATGCATGATGGTTTTACATTACTTTTCAAAATGCATTCTGGGATACTTTGAGTGGACTGTATAGGGTATGATCATTCTCACTATATATTCGAACAGCCCTATAAAATGGCGAGCTCTCTATGAATAGTCCAGTATATATAGTGAGTAGTGATTTTGGACACCACACAGTAAGATTCACCGCTGTCATGAATATGCGCACAGGTGCATTGGTTATGATTACGTTACTGCTAACACAGCCAAACATCGAGCAAGTGCGAAAACACAAGACACAGCAATATTAGTGAAAAGTCAGACTGTGTACACAGAAAGACTGCCAGCTCTACGTTTGTCTCGCGGGAAACTCTCGCCACTCTCTTTTTATCTTCTTAGCTACCTCCGTCAACATCCTTTTTTCGGTCTTTCCACCTCTCCCAAAGTTACGTTGCCCGCTTGCCCAGCTCTTGTTCTACCCCGGCGCTGCTCTCCACCAGCAGCAGAATAATGTTGCTGCTGCTTGAAACTTGAGTGGCGAGCTAGCCGAGAAACAGCAGGACGCAGGAGCACTTACAGTAACGTTACAGACGTCCGAGTGTGTTATCTAGTGGGTTACATCAACTAAAGATTTGTAGCTAGAGGCTAAACCTCTGTCTGTGTAACCTCCGGCTGATTTACTTTGCCAACAGCCAAACATCAAGCAAGCACAACACTTCTGGACACAGCGAGCAGCTAACAAGTTATTACTGACAACAGAAAGAAGGCCAGCTCGGCGTCTGTCCTGCATCCTAACAGCTCTTTAAGCTCAACCAGTAAAAGCCAGTCTGATATTCACTCTGTCCGGTCTTTCGCTCCGTCACTCTCTCTTTATCTCTTCTTCGCTTCCTCCAACTTCGTCTTCTCCTGTTACTTCACTGCCTCTGCCACGATATCCATACCGAGCTAGCTTTCTTCAGAAGTTATACGTTATAAACATTTTCCTGAAAATGCTATTTTAGCAAAATGTTCCAGTCTACCGACGCATGCGTAGTACGTGCATAATGGAAGTGAATGGATCGACCCATAGATCAGCTCGTTATCACCAATAACCCATTCAGCTATTTGAGTCGGAATCGGGCGCCATCCCTAAGATACTTTGTCGTGAGGTGTTAACATGAGATAATTAACTGTCCGCTAAACCCTCCCCTGAGTTTGGAGGCTCGGGTCTTGTTTTAGTCTTTCAAAAACAAACATATGGGAGCAAAAGTTATTTTTATTTACTTCTCTCTGAAATCAAGGACTTATTGTTCAAATATTCATTTTTGATGGTAAATAATGCATGATTGGTTATAGGATAGCCAAGTCCATGATGGATTCAGGTCCAGTAGTCTGGTACAGGGTCGGATGCTGCTGATGATCAGTGCGAAGTCATCTGATTGGCTGGTCGTGCGGTCGGGGTGGGGCCGGAGGCCTGCGGGAGAAGAACATTCAAGATTAACATCATCCTGCTAATCTGATGCTAACGTGCTAACACAAATATGCAGGCCTATAAACCACGAGGGGCCTTGTTACAGAAGGCTCCTGCTTTTTATGGTGCATTACATTTACCACGGAAGTAGGAACTGGGAATGACGTCACGCCTGAGTTGACCGCATTCAAGTTAACAGTCGGAGAACCTCACACTAGCCAAGTTAGCCACTGTTACCAACGCTGATTCTTGAAAACACATTATGCAGTATTTACTAAATAGCGTTACTATTTTAACTAAATTTCTCAGTAGCTTGGTGGCAGCGTCGCTGTTTTCTGAATCAAATAGCTTTTCAGTAACGAAGCTCTTCCACACACGCTATATTTTCCCCCCCAAGTATTTCTGAAGGATCAGTAAGTGACGCCACCGCCACACACGGACCTGTATGTGCAGCGGGCAGAAGCGCTTCAGTGGGACGGTGACATCACGTACTGATCCTTGGGCTGATGATGTCTGCGACTTTGCTGCAGGGGAATAAAGACACACGCGATTGAGTTTACTTTCTATTGTGATAGTTATTGTAAAACCTCCTGTGAGAAGGATCAGGCTCCAGCCTGCACACCTCTTCCTCTAGTGAGGAGGAAACTTTGATATGTAGTGGCAGAAACCCGTTTCCATTAGTGATAAGCAGATCAATCCTAAAGTATCGATATTTCTGATACCAACGTTTCCTGCCTAATTATACTCGGTTGATAGGAACTACTTTTCCTTCCGCCTGTCAAAGTCGTGCTTGTGCTACGACTCTGTGACGGAGCTTCTTTGAAGTGAGCAGATAACTCTATTAACTCTATTTATATATTTCTCTTCTATTCAAATCAGCTTTATTGGCATGAATGTATGACCACAATATTGCCAACGCTACAAATAAATTACATGAGAACAATTAATTTCATTAAATAAGTAAATAAAACAGTAAAAGATGTGTTTGTTCCTCAGTACTTTTTCTAGTTATAGGTTGGAAATGTGTTGATTTTGTAAAAGCCATAAAAGAGCAAACAAAGGAAAATGTGAAGGACAGCAGAGCTTAAAGCGAGACGCCACAGTCCACAATGATGATTTAGCTTCTACTGTCGGTTTTCAGATTTCAAGTTATTATGCAACTATTATTACCATACTTTCATAAAATGTACAAAACAATCTTGAATAATATGTTTAAACATTTTTATTTGTCCCGTAAACTGCACTAAACTAAAGGTCGAGAAGTCAGAATTTCAGAGTTCAAAGGTCAAAAGGGAATCCCGACCTCCGAAGTCGGGAGAACTGCACTGCCCCGACTTTGTGATCAAGATGGCTGTCGGGTATCAACAGTTAGTGAAAGCTGTGGTTTATACTGTTTATTAACACTTGTGACCGATTTAAATGTTTGAACACAAAGTGCTGCTGCTGTCTGTGGACGTGTTGCTACAGTGTTTAGTGTGAGTAAATACCGCACAATGCGTTTTCTTTTATCAACCGGCGAATCAATAGCTAACCTGGCTGGTGATGTCATCGCCGCTACGACCTCCGAGGTAAATGGGATGCAGCATTTGCCTTCCCTTCAGCTCGGTGGCGCCCCCTGAGGAGGCTCAGGTCTTTGTCTTTAGTCTTTGTCCTGTCTGTGGCAGACAGTGTTCGCCAAGTAATATTTCCTTTCCCAGTAACTAGAAGTGTAACTAATTACTTTTCTAAAACAGCAAGATTATTACAGTTCCCATAAACGCTGACCGCCACATGATGATTTTCTACTTTTTTTACTAGTTGGATTTCAAATCATTTTTGATTGAGGAGCATATATTCTGTGGGAAACACTGGAAAGTAATATAGTAACGTAACTAGTTCTTTTATCACCCAGTAATAAGTAATAATATTACTTTTTTTAATAACTAGTAATATATCGCAACTTTCCCGACACTGCAGACAGACCACATCCTGTCATGTCACCAGCTGTACGTGTCGCCCTGAACGAAAAGTTAGTGAATATTTGATTCTCCGCCTCCCTGTGAGTGTTTGTATCTGCTCACCTGTCGTCCTCTTCCTCTTCTTCCTCCTCCTCCTCCTCCTCCTCCTCCTCTTCCCCGTCCAGAGAAGACGGTGGTCAGGCCGTTGTGTTCGGGGACATGTCGCAGGGAGCGTGTCCTCGAGTGTTTCAGCTCTGACAGGAGCTCAGGGCTGGACAGCGACAAACGAGCTGCACACAGAGGTAGAATTATTATTATGAAAGTCAGATTGTTACAGTGAGCGCTCAATACAAAACCCACAGTTAACCAGCAATTAATGTACTTAAATCAGTTCTAATCTCCCAGGACTCCATCTTTCTGTATCCCAGTAAGCAAACAAAAAATACTCATTTGAGGTTCAATTAAAAAGTTGGCCGATGAAAATAAAACCAAGTGACGCTCTCGTGTTTAATAGACAAGCGTAGAGTTTCCCCAGACAGACTGCGCCTCTTTCGGACTCGTTTGGTTTGAGACTGCTTTCCTCTTGGGTGTCATGTGACCAGAGTGTAATCGATTAGAAAATCTTGTTGTATCACATCGCGATAATATCGCAAATGCAATTAATCGTTCAGCCCCATTACATGATCATCCAAACTAATGCAAAAACCTCTGACAGCGCTTTCACAGGTTTTTGCATTAGAAAAAAATCTAAATTCTTCTGCCAGATGTTGCGATTAAAATTTGATTTGCGATTTTCTCGAAGTTTTGCCAAAGTTCAATATTTACTGCCAGTCTATTTTTCAGGGAAGCCGAGTCGAGCAGCACAGAGCAGATGAACCGGACAGGAAGTCTGACACAGAACGGTTGACTTTCAAAATAAAACACCCTGTGCAGATTCCCGATCATATAAAAATAAACAATTTAACTACGTAGCCTACTGAGTTGTACAAAAATCAAGGAAAACTGAACCAACTCAAATCTGAACAAGTCAGCAAAATCAGGCAGGCAAAACGCTCTTATTCTGAAATGCCCTATGTGGGATATGTAGCCATGTGGAGTGCGGAGCCAAACAGGTTCACAGAAAGCCGTGGCGTTTTAGGATTGAATGACAGGTTTCCTTGAAACGTTTCGCAATGGGCTTAGAGGTATCTTTTCTATGGTTGTCTCCCGTGTTTCATCTAAACGCTCCGCTGCTGAAACACTTCAGTGTGAGTTGACGCTGGACTAAATCGCGATACAGCCGCTGCCTGAGTCGGTACGGTTGGCGCAATTATCCCACAAGTTTAGTTTGTTGTTGTAAAACGTACATGCCCTGTGCCGCTCTGATTGGTGAGGAGGACCGTGACAGGAGGCGCATGGCGCTCGTGATTGGCAGGATGACAACGGCATGAATCTGTAACTGCATGACTGTTTAAAATGAGCTGTGTAATTAACCTACATTTTAATCGCCTTCTTCACGATTAGCTAATCGTCTTATTTCAAATCGCGATTTCGATTTGAAAACGATTGATCGTTCAGTCCTGCTCACAATAAAGCACATGTGTTGATCCACATCATCAACCTGCAGACGCTTACTTTCATTTCCTCAGTGAAACTAATGTCAGACCAAATAAATGGATTATTGACTGAGTACTTTTACTTCAGTAAAGTTTGTCAGTGCTCTCCCCACCACTGCACGTGACATGAAGGCCACGTGACGTCCGGCTCACCTTGTCTCTTGTCGTAGCCTGGAGGGGAGGAGGAGGAGGAGGCTGAGGAGCTGCAGGGGGAGGAGAGCGGGGTGGAACTGAGGGGGGAGGGCAGAGGAGAGGAGGGGGGAGAGGAGACGGCACTGGATTCACCGACGTCTCTGTGAAACCGGGATTTGTTCCGAAACTCTGAAAAACAGAAAGACGAGGATGAGACAGACGACGGCGAGAGAGGTGAGGAGGCGTGGGCCGATGATGGGCTCCTCCCTCCCTCCTCCTCTTCCTCACCTCCCTCCCCCAGACTGACGCACAAAGACTACGCTGCTCGAGGTCATTTTGAGGTGAGACAGACTCTCACCTTGCAGAAACTCTGCTTGCAACTCTGGACTTTGCAGACTTTGACGAGGAGGGCGAGATGAAAAAGAGGGACGCGGAGTTTCTGGTGCAGCTGTCACCGAGGAAGAGGACGATGAAGATGAAGAAGGCTTCATGACGTCTGCAGCGGGAGGAGCTTTAAAGAGAATTCACCTGTTGGCAGCTGCAGTTCATCTAATATTTTAACAGCAGCAAATGAACTTTATATTTCCAGACAGCGATTCAACCAGAGGATCCGTCAGGGAGACCCGGGGCCCCCCTGGAACCCGTTCCTGACTCTCGTGGGTTTGAGCCCCTCAGAGGAGACTCCCAGCTTGTACTCACTGGCTGGTGTGAAGCTGCAGCTCCTCGGCGGCGTGACGGCTGACCGACCACTTCCTGCAGCCCTCGCCTCGCTTCACCACACTCTGAAAACTTCATCCATGCAAAACACACACACACACTCAAAAGTCCACATTAATAATTTACGCGTTTAATGACAGTGTTGCCATGGATACCAGGAAGGAAAATAGAGAGTCAGCTGGACTTTTAACCCCCCCCCCCCACACACACACACACACTTTAAAGCATTAAGATTCGCTGACCTTTCATCGGCTCTTTCCCTCAAAGCTGATGTGATCGATATCTTTATGTTAACAGGTGGTGCAGTGGATATGACACATGCCTGTGCTGTAGGAGACCCGGGTTTGAGGTGTGCGGTGCGCAAGACGCGTGCGACACATGTAGCAACTGTAAGTCACAGCTAAATAAATAAATGATGAAGAGACTCCTGACGTCTCGCATATAAAATGTTCCAAACTGACGTTTGTGGTCAACTCAACTTTGCTTCTTTCGTGAAGACTCAAATTAAATGATATATAAATTCTATTTCCTGTCTCATGTATGTTTAAATCAATCAGATATCAGATTGTGATCAAGTTGTACAATGTCGGCCTGACGCCTTTGATGCTCCATCTTTACTACAAACCGCTCTGTGCTGCACCTTCGACCGGGGTTCAGTCCCGTTAGTGAGGTCAATTTATTTATAACATCACATTTCATACAGCAAGAATCAAGGTGCGTGACTAATCCCAAGATGTTGAGAGAAGGTAAAAACAGAAATGTAAAAACATCAATGAACGTAAAATAAAAAAATAAATAAAAGCAGAAATATAAAAATAAAAGCATATTTTTAAAACCAGATACGAGATAAAACCACCATCATAAAAACACGGTAAAAGGTGAGATAAAGTCAATGAAAGCGATTAAAACAAGAGGCTTGTGAGAGAAGTTTTACTGTTCAAGAAGAATATGATGTCTTTTGGTTCCACATTAGGTCTGGGCGATACGGCCGAAAATGTTATCAAGATAAAAACATTTCTAATCATTCGATATACGTTGAATCATTATTTCTTTTAAGTTTAAAGGCAGATTTTTGCTCCTGAGTGGAAAATAGAAGAAACCAGATGGTTAATTATGTGGTGAAACTTTTCTTTATGCTCAAAATGGATCACTTAACAAATCTGACGTAGAACATTCAAAACTATTGTGACAAAATCTTTTTTCAAAAAATATGAATAATAATTGTTTTTTATGTCCCTTTTCGTCAACAGAACAAATACTTTGCCCTATTCCACATGTGAACGTGATCACAAGGTTAGATGTTCATATTTCCTAATGCCACAACACAGACTAACTAACTGCTAGATGTGAAAGCGTCCAGCGTTCAGAAGATCAAACAAACGCAGGTGGAGAAGCTTTCAGCCCTGAGTAGTGTCTGCAGGCGGTCCTTTCAGGCTACCACCTCCACCAATTATTCGGGGCGGCACCATCACCTCCACCTGCTCGGTGTTGAAAACCGGACAAACTAAATGCTGCTGTTTAAAAGTCGACACTTGACGGTTTCTACTGGATCAGACAGAGAGAAGAAGAAGAAGAGTTCAGCTTCAGGGTCACTTTCTTTAATAAAAGACGAAACACGAATCATTATTTACAAAACAATAACACAACATCTGGCACATCAGCACACACGGGTGGTGGACAAAATAAACAGAACGCCACATGGAAAAAGACCAACTCTGTTCACATACTCCTCATATCAGCATTCAATTTATGTTAGCTTTAACACTTGGTATGTAGCATGTTGTGCTGTGAGTGCAGCTTCGCTAGAGGAACAGATACAGATTCATTGTGACAGGATTTAGTTTTTTAGGATTTAGGCTAGCTGTTTCCCCCTGTCTTTATGCTAAGCTAAGATAAGCTAAGCTAAGCTAAGCAGCTGCTAGCTGTAGCATAAAGGCCACGAGAGCGGATTCAATCTGAACATCTGGCTCTCAGAGGGACAAACCTTTCCTTTAAAAATGTTGTTTTTTAGATTGTTTATTTGCCAAAACGCTGTGAAAATAAAAGAATATAAACCGCTAACTCTCACCAACGCCGGATCAGTGAAGTCACACAATGCATCATGGGATGAGGAATAACTGGAACAGTTTGGAGAAAAATATTCCAATTTAAGTAAACGAGTTAAACAGAAACTGAACACTTTCTGTAGATCTTCTGACGTCCAGAGGTTTAACTCCTCGCCTTCTCCGGTGACGTCACAGCGTACTCTGGTATATGTGTGTGCGAGTCCGTCTGCTCTCACAGAAGCCAACAAACAGAGAGTCAGTTCACAGGTTCAACGCCCGGCTCGTCCGTCTGTCCTCAGCGAACAGGTACCGCCATCGTCGCCATGGTAACGTGGCGGCAGTTACAGCGTCCACTTCAAACACCTGCGGGACACAGACAGAGGCTTTCTCAACACGGAGGACGCCAACAGAAGAGCGTTCAGCTGGGTTCACTGTGAGGTGCATCTTCCTGCCTAACAAAGATTTCTAGCTCCTCTTTCAGATCTGCGGCGCTGATGTAAAATCTGCTCGTTGTAGACAGTCATGTAGTGTTAGATGGATTCAACAGCAGTGTTTCCTCTGGGTCACCGGATCATAGATGGTGGCTGACAAATTTTTGTAGCGTCAGAATTAAAAGAGTGCTAATAAAGAGATAAACTACAAAAGTCAATGTGCTGCATTCAAAATAGTCATTGGGGCAGATTATGTGTAAGGTGATAACTACTGCATGACAAAAATATATTGAAAAATACACAAAATATACAGTTTTTCATTATAATGTAATATAATAATTACCTGAGTAATATATGGTATTATTACACTGAACAAAATTATAAACGCAACACTTTTGTTTTTGCCCCCATTCATCATGAGCTGGACTCAAAGACTTTCTCTATGTACACAAAAGGCCTATTTCTCTCAAATATTGTTCACAAATCTGTCAAAATCTGTGTTAGTGAGCACTTCTCCTTTACAGAGATAATCCATCCACCTCACAGGTGTGGCATATCAAGATGCTGATCAGACAGCAGTGCACAGGTGTGCCTTAGGCTGGCCACAATAAAAGGCCTTAGGCTGGCCACAATAAAAGGCCACTACAAAATATGATTCTAATGAATTAAATCAAATATTTACTGATGATATATTGAACATTTATTATATCGTTATTGAGGAAAATTATATTGCAATAATTATCATTATTGTTTTACTGCCCAGCCCTACTCTGGTCAGTAAATAATCTGTGAATACGCCGACAGCAGAAACAGCTGATCAGACGTGAATTACAAGTTCGCTACGTCAGAACCTATTCAGCAAAAGCGTAGCGCATTTACTGTTCCTCCTCAAGTGAGCGTAAAGCCTTTTTTGCCGTTTCCATCCACCTTTTCTAATGCAATACTTCAAAATGCGATGGAAACATGGCTCCTGTCTGCACCATACTACAGAACAGATCACGCCGTTACGCCATGAGAACTGAGCAATGTGCTCAGCATCGTGAAGACCTGTTGTGTGCTACGAGTCCACGATCTATAATATGCGAGTCCTGAGATTATTTCTTTGAAGTGGACCTAAACAAATTCTTCAAATGTTTTAGACCATGAGCGAGGGGACATTTAGTCCGGTCTTTACCTGTGTTAGTCAAGACTTGGTTTTAAGGTCTGGGTTAAGGTCTAGGATATGCATTAAGTCCCTGAGGGTCCTCACAAGTACAGGAAGGCGTGTGTGTACCTGGTCTCTCTGTGCGTACACAGACACTTGGTGCTGCAGTAGCGCCCCCCGCAGGTGGTGCAGGTGTAGTGAGAGGGGAAGCCGCAGACGCAGCAGAAGTGCCGGGGGGGCAGAGAGGAGGGCGGGGCCGCCGCGGACAGGTAGTTGGGCTCCGGCTTCTCCGACAGGTTCTACCAATCAGAGAGCAGAGCAGGAGTCAGCTGACAGTAGACACACAGCCAATGAGAAAGCAGGAAAAACAGTGACGCCACGTGACCCACCTCCTCCTCCAGCAGCGTGGTGAAGTTTTTCCTGAAACGCTGCTTGAAGTGATCGCCCCTCGTCTTCCTCTTCTTCTTCTCTGGACGCACAGAGAGAAGAAGAAGAAGATTAATATGCCTTCTGCTACCACGTGCTGCGGTGCACAGTAAGTAAGTACATTTACTCAAATACTGTACTTAAGAACAACACTGAGGTACTTTACTTTGAGCTCTGAGTAACTGTGACGGCATCTTTACAAACAATCAATCGATTAATGGAGGAAATAATCAGCAGATTAATCCATAATGAAAATAATCATTAGCTGCAGTCGGATACAGAAGAGAATGGCGCCGCACACAGATGCAGCGGCTAAGTGCTTTCCCGGTGGGTGCCTCGTGTGGCTGGTTAGGTATACGTCGTTTTTTATTTTATGTACATTATGTCGGGCAAATAACACCTACAGCCGGCATTAGATCCTGAAAATTGGATTAGAACAGTAGACCCCTGTAAGCGCAGAGGTGGGGGACTCAGTGTATATGTGAACAACAGCGAGTGTACAAACACAGTAACTGTAGACAGTCACTGCTCCCCAGACTTGAAGTATGTGACTGTTAAATGAAGAGAGTTTGCTGTGGTCATGATAACTGCAACGCTGCTAAAGTGAGGGACTGGTGCAATAAGTGTGTCTGTATACATGAATGCTTGTTCATGCTGTTTTTAGTTACTATTTATTTACTATTTTAAGTTACATCTTAAGAATGATGCACTGGCTGGTCTGCACTTTGACATTTCGTTGTATATGTGACAATGACAATAAAGTTTTCTGTTCTGTTCTAAAAGTTCAAAATGAGTTTCAGCTCAACAACTACAGCAGTAAAATCCTGCTTTATTAATTAATGCACGAGTAATAATAATAAAATATAATAGAATAACTTTCAAAAGGACAATGAGGACTTTAAGTACATTTTCCTGATGATACTCTTAATACTTTTAAGTGTAATAGAGTATTTTTACTGTGTGGTAAAATTATAACTGAGTATGTTGAATTTTTATTAAAAGGACAATAACAACATTGTTTAATGAATACGTGTATTTTAAATTCTGTTTGTCATGTCCATGAACCCTGGCAAACACAAATAGAAAGCAGGTACTTTTGTACTTTGAGTCAAGTAGAAATACTTCTACATTTAGTGGAGTAATATTTAGCAACGGTATGTGTACTTGTAGTCAAGTACAGGATTTGTGTACTTCGTCCAACAAATGCGTTTTTAAAACAGGAAATCTCACCTGGTTCTTCTGTCTCGCTGAAGGCGGGAAGGCGGGCAGTAGGACCTGGGGGAGGGAGGGAGGACAGAGGGTCGTCCTGGAAACACAAAATGAACAACAACAACATGACCCGTTAAAGTAAAGTGTTATTAAACAACATCATCAGCCAATAGAATCACAGATCTCCTCATCAGGACGTAGCACAGACTATTACAGGTGTTTCTTACCTGGACCACAGCCCTGATACGGACTAATCTGAACCGATGTGACTGTGTTGCATTCGCGCCCTGAAGGATTATTGATCACATTGTATTAACACAGATTCACACGGACGCACCTGGAAGTTGTCTTTCTCCAGAGCCTCGAGCTGTCTGGTCAGTCTCCTCTGTCTGGTGGCTTCATCCAGAACTCGGCGCTGCCCGGCCTCCACCCGAGCTGACGGACAGAAAGTGTTTACATTCCTCTGTTTTTAGCTGTAGCTTGAACGCAGCTTTAGACTCAAAACCAAACTGCGCTATAAAATCTCGTAATTTAACGTTTCTCCATACTTTAGTTATTGATAGACACTTCATAAAACATTTTCTCAAATAATTTACAACGTGTTATGAACTAAAGTTTAATTCGGCGGACAGCGGGGACACAAAGCATCACCTATTTTTATAAAATATCCCAAAAGTTGCAGCCTTCTCGCTGAAATCAAACGCAGCGTGCCGCTAGCTGAAGCACGATCCGGTACCGGAAGTGAGGGTGTAAGTCACATTAGTGTTACTTTTGTGAATCGTTTATACGCCGAATTTATGGTAATCATGTAACAATAATGACAGTATAAGAGCAAATAACAAAGACGACTTGTATCGTTAATAAACTCGTAGAGCCGTTTCAGGTTTACGTTTCGTTCGTTAGCTCCGCAGCCGCCGTTAGCATGAACGAAAACGGACTAAAAAGGACAACAGATCATCTGTTAACGCGTATTTACACCGTGTCAACTATGATTCTTCAGATATAGTAGTTTGTAACGCAGCGGGGTCGCGTTTTAATACATAATTTGGTTAAAATGACCCAAACTCACCGGAAGCTTTCTTTTCCAGCACCATCTTGGCTGTTGTGTTGTCGCTTCCTCTCTACGGCAGCCGCACAGGTTCCTACCAAACCGGACGAAGCGCGTTTTGCTTTATAACCGGACTGCTGGTTTCGTTTTAATGTCGGGACATCTTTAAGGAAAACTTTAAAATGCTTTAAAGATGATGGTTTTAAGTTTGGCTAAAGTCTAAACTAGCAGAACGTCTTAGTTTTCTCTACTACGGGAAGCCACAGGGGACAGCATTAGAGGTGAGCGCGTTTCCTTCTCTTTGTGGCCACCTGGTGGGGGAGGCATCGCTGTTTGCAGTATTAGACGGCATGTTTGTTTAACATTTGATGCATCATTGAACAAACGGTCTCAGTTACTCTGACTGTTAATAAAGTATTGATCAAACATTAAGGTATTCTTGTAGCTGTTCTGGTGAACATGGTAGAGGCATGATTTATTTGAACATAAAAGGCCTTAGAGACAAGTTTCTAAGTTTTAACAGGGGCTTACTGCCTGTGATTTTTTTCCTTTGACACTAAAACTTAAAGAACATCCAGAGAGACAATCACATCGCGGCCCAGTACGTACAAAACCTCTGGTTTCACAAAGATATCTCAGACTGAGAAGCTCTTGACCCCCGGGGCTGAAGCCATGTTTGGATTGGTAACACTTATTGAGTGACAGCTGGTGACCTGTAGCACCACACAACATGGCTCATGAAAGAGAAGGGAAAGAGTGAACCCATATTGTTTTCTTTTGTCCTGAGCCTGACTGATGAGTTAGCTCTGAGCAACAGATGCATTCAATGTCTCTCTGAAGTCTGACTGTTGGTTTGATCTAGTCAAAGTCTTGTCTTTGAGACACCAGCCTCCTGAGGAGCTGAAAGTAAAATAAATCTCAGTTTGATTCTTCAGGCCTCCAGAGGTGACAGGTCACACCTTGTCACTGAAGATAAAACACACACACTCCAAATTACTGAGTTTAGATGTTGATTCTTTTATATTAGAGTCGATCCCAGAGCAGGAAAGGCAGGGATCAGAAATATCGATCGGCCCATCACTAGCTTCTTTTGAAATATGTTACTGGAAGGTGTCAGTATATTGTACCATCTCTAGACAGGTTAAACAGATCATAACAAACATTGGAGTATCCTAGAATGTGACCCAGATTTGAACCATTTAGCAGTGTCTGCACCTCGTTTTGTTGTCACTTCCATGTATTAAGAACCCACTCAAACTAATTGGCGTTCATCACAGCTTTATGGGAACTATAGGTGTGGCAAATGTGCACATTGTTCCAACACATTTGACACTGAAACATTTAACCATCCACGTTCAAGGAAGAAACACAACATAAAATAATTCATCAATTGTCTGTCTACCCATGTTGTCATTGTTTTGAAATGTCCATGTGGCTTAATGTGGGCCAAACTAAACAGAATGAGTGGAGTGGAAGAGCTTATGCTCTTCCACTCCACTCATTCTGTTTAGTTCTGTTTATACTAATATATATATATATAGTGATATTTGTTGATCTGTTTGTATAATTATCACATTCCTGTTGATTTTATATATGTATATACATGAGAAAGGTGTCATGGGAAAACATGGATTGTGCTGGTCACATGACCTGCACAGGGTCTATTTAGCACACCTGGAAGTGTTTTTCTAATTTCACTTTGTGAGCCTGAAGAAGCAATGGGCAAAACGTGTTTCTCACAATAAAGGTAATAAAGTCAGACCAGTGTGCGGTAGTTTGTTTTTTGATTTTTTTTTTATGTTACTAGAAGGGTTTTATATGCGAAACACCCACAGATGAAGACCATGTGATGGGACTAAAGCTTCAAAACAGCCATTACAGGGACCTTCAGGCAGAGTTTCTGCAGGTGCACCATGTTCAATTTAAAGTTAAGTGTGTAACAAAGATAACTTAATTCCTGTTTAACAATAAGAGTTTAAAGATATCAAATAAAACCAGTAGGGATGATGTGACATAAATAGACCTGGACTTTAAAGAGCAGCAGAACACAGATTAATGTATTAAACACTTAAAGAAAATTCTATTTCAAGATCCACATATGATTTTTACATGAGGTCAGAGGTCTGGAACGACAGTACGAACTCTGTAAATGAAATATTAAAGAAGTGAGTCTGGAGGAGATCAAAGCTGGTCCTCGTTCTGTAAAGATTTAAAAAGAAGAGGTTTTGTTCTCCATCACAGACAATATAAAGGATTTACTGAAGACGATCCGTAGCTCCACCCCCCCCCCACACACACACACACAGAAAACAAGCGCACCCTGCTGTGACAGAAAACTTATTTATTAAAATCTCAAAACTTTATTCGTTCAGTCATTAACAAATAATTTAATGCAGTTTGTACAAAGCCAGAGCGCTGACTCCTCGTATCGACAGAAAACTGAAGGCAGCGTCGGGTGGAAACCTCGTAAGTCCCGTTCTTAAGGAACCGTTCCTCAAAAATCATCAAAACATTTTTAAATACAGAGAAATACTGAGAGGAACCTACGGGTTCACACCGCGACGATGGGGGAAAAAAAATATTCAACTACATGATGGAAAGACAAAGAAATGGATTTAAACAGCTAAAGCTGAAGAATAAAATACAGAGATATAAAAGGCCTTTAATGTTTTCAAAGCGTCTCGTCTGATCCTCACTTTACTTCACATTAACTGTTTGGGGAAATCAAACTCTTAAAGGCCAAAAACATCTGACGGAGTGTAACAGCTGATGGTCGTTCACACGCACACAGTTGGAGTGCGTTCTGCTTGCATAGATTCAGGTAGTGTCGTGAGATAAGGCAGCACGGTGACTCTTATTTTGAAATGCACATCTGCTCGTCACTAAATGAAGGCTAAATAAAGTGACTCTTATTCTGAAAAGTCCTGCGACGGTGCGTTCAGGGTCTTGCGTCTGACCCCCGCTGAAGGTCGTGCAAAGCCGGGTCAGAGGGGAAGGCGCGTCAGGTGTGAAAGCAGGTGGGGCTGGATCGTCCAATCAGAAGTCAGAAAGACAAACTTAAAATGAAATAAGAAGTCTTGAGACGATGCATTCACGGTCATCACGTCTAATCCGCCGCCGTATCTGTGATGAGGTTGACTAATGTTCACACACACACACACACACACACACACACACACACACACACACACACACACACACACACACACACACACACACACACACACACACACAGCGTTGTGTCACTATCTTCATGGGGCCCCAAACCTGAACCCTGAAACTAAGTCCTGGCCCTCAAACAGCCCTCTAAACTTGTAGGGTCCAGCATTTTGGTCTCTACAAAGCTGCCTGACCCCACAAGTATAGTGGGTCCCTGGTTTTTGGACCCCATGAATACAGTAAAACAAGCGCACACACACACACACACACACAGAGTAGACCAGTTGAAGTGGTTGGTTGGTCGACCGATCCGTGACCAGGAAGGCTCTTCAACACACTCACACAGTCCCAGTCAGTCTTAGGGGTCCACGAAGGACACCATGATGTATCTGGTTCCTTTGGTGGTGGGCAGACCCTCGTGGTAGTGCGTCAGGCGGCCCGGGTGCATGAAGGACCAGCCCTTCCTGGGAGACTCCACCTTACAGTCGTAACGCAGGAACCTGCAGCCTCCACCCTGACACACAGAGAGAGAGAGACGCAGTGTGAGATCTGACACCTGCACGGGTTAAAATCCACAACCTCAGTGCAGTAAAGTCTGACCGCTCACTGTCAAAGCTGTCACTGCCTTTCAACTGTTAAAACAAAACTGGTCTGTTGAAGGTTTGTGAGTCTGAACTCGACCAAAGATCGTCTCCCGTCAGCTGATCTCACATCTCCAGCTGAAGGTTCCAGTTATTTCAGTGAGTTAATCAACATTTAGGTAAATATACATGTATCAGATCAGAGTCAGCAGATCCGCATCATCAAAGCGACTCTGGGATCAGGCTTCGATCCCAGCAGGAACGCTCGGATTATGGCCGTTAAGAGTTAAAACCTGTCTGCCAACAGAAAGAGCCTCATGTCGTGTGAATAAAAAGTGCTCTGAGGTGTGTTTGTGTACCTCGTAGTCGACGTTCTTCCTGTTCAGGGCGATGTTGATGGTGAAGGTGGAGGAGTCGTGATGCGGCCGCAGATACGGCTGCTCGTCAGGACGGTAACGCACCACAAAGTTCATGATGGCCTGGGCCTGCGCACACACACACACACACACACACACACAGTAACCTTAGAGCGCCAGACTGGACTGTAGGAACGAGGCCATTATGGTTTTGCATTTGTAGTTTGTTTTGACTTGATTTATATTTCAGATTTGTTTTAGATAGTTTCTTCGTTGCTGCATGATGTCGAGCATCTTTGGCTCGGGCTAAAACTCTCCAGCTGATTGGAAGATAGTGGAGACACAGACGAGAAGTCCCCAGCTCGCTGAAGGCAGTACGACTGGAAACCAGTTAAATATTAAATCTAATCCTTTATGGGTTAAAAAACAGGTGCTCTCATTAAAACTAAGTGAAGCAGAGAGAGACAGGCTGGTGAAGATCAATGAGCACATACATAAACGCACACTAGCTGACATGCAGTGAAATAAATAATGACCAGCAGCCACGTTAACCCAGCGCGAGGGGAGCTCAACACAGGGACATGAACACTAAGCCAGATTTAACTGAACAAAACCAGAGAAAGAAAACCACCAAGGCAGGTGGACAGATAACTCTGTAGCTGTGTTAGACAACATGTTCAGACCCCAGCAGCTACACAGCTTGTTGGAAAAAGCGATCTCAGAAGCAGACAGTTTTGCAGTTGCATTATACATGTGATGCTTGTATTCAGGCTGTCAGACTGACTCAAACGGACGAAAAAAAAATGTTAGAAGCTAAAACCTGCCGTATCCCCAAACGACTGAGGCGAGAGACAATGATATTAAGGATCAACGCTGTTCCTGTAAAGCTGTGTGTGCCTCTATTCATTATTACTATCATTAAAAAACAGAACAGTCGGGATTTATTACGTTACATTCGTAGGAAGTTAACATTACATTAGGAACAATCCACAGCCGACATATTTCTGGATTTATTTCAGGTTTTGGAAAGAGAATAAATCGTACTTCTCCTTTCAGCCTCTCTGGGTTGAAACTAATTATTAGAAGATGCCCCAGGAACAGCGTTTGACCATATTTTAGAAAAATACAGCCAAAAAAAAGCTCGAAAACGACTCTTTTTGCATTGGAGTCAATTGAGCTCAGTTAGAGCGAGTCCTATACTGCGCTGTGATTGGCCAGCTGAGTATTCGGGGCGTGGCTTAGCGAAGGGTCAATTCTCTTTCAAATCCGATTCGTTCACATCGTGGCAGGACAGCCACTCGCCACGCAGCGTGCCGACTCTTCATGTGGAAAACAAAGGCCTGATCCACCTGCGGCTCAACAGACTAGTTTATTTTAGTTAGTTGTTGTTGTTTTGTCTTTGTTGACGATAATAAGCTTTGCCAGGACTGTGTTTCCGTGTAATCTCTGTACCTTGGGGTAATAGCCAGGATAGAGTTTTTCGGTGACGGGGACGATGTAGTCCTTGAGGAACTTGAGCCACTCCTTTTCAAAGTCGATCTGGTTCATGTGGATGTCCACAGTTGGGACGTTTTCATACCCTCCGGCCAGACGCTCGTCCTGCACACAAAACACACAGACTTTCGGTACTCGCTTTCCCCGTCTGCTGCTCGCAGACACAGTCACCTGGGTGAACAGCTTACCTTGTGTGATCCTCCGGACCACTGACCGTTGTGCTCCATGGTCTCCACCAGCTGATCGCACATCTTCTCTGAGAAGGCTGGAAACCAGTAAACATCTGGACAGGGCTGAGACAGACACGCAGGGATCAGGTCTGAACTACAGAGGACTGTGCAAACCTTTATTTGATGTGTTGAACTTTAAGATCTATAAAACAGGTTGATCTGAAACGGAGGGAGAGAGACAGGGAAGCAGTTTCCTGTTGAAATGTTGTTTAGGCTACCTGCTCCACGAAGGTCTTCTGGTCTTCAAAGATCTTGGTGTAGTTCTCATGGATATACTTCTCCTTCCAGTCCTGCAAACACAAACACATGTTCAAGCCTGTGCTTCGATTCGGTTCACCCTGCGTTCACGTTACTGTGTCTGCATGTTTGTCTGACCACGGGGTTGTCGAAGATCTGCCACATGTCCGGGTGCAGCCTGGACGTGTTGAAGTTGGCCGACGCCACCAGACGGCCAAACTCGTCGCGGTTTGACACAAACATGAAGACTCCCTGTGGACACGCAGAGATTAGCGTCAACGGAGGCTCATTGTTTTTCAGAAAACATCCAGGAATTTATCAGTTTGTCCTTTAAATATAGCGCCTGCGTGCACCAAGAGCAGTTCAAGGATGCACAAAGACGTGTGTACTGAAAAACTTTACCTGTGTTTGTTTCAAGCAGTCAATAATAAAACATTTAATTGTAATGTAATAATCCAGAATCAGCCTGTAATATGATACTGCAGACCCTGTAAACAGCAGAGAATCGTGAGGTGAGCCGGCGTTTAGCGTGTGTTACCTGGTCTCTGATGCTCCTGCAGAACACCATGTCAGGGTCCATCTCCGGTCCACGTACAGGCTCACCTGGGACAGTTTGGACCGCAGCACGCTGCCTTTGATCAGGTAGGCCTGAGTGATGTACGGGACATTCCACAGACCACTGCAACACGAACACGTGCACACAAAGACACGCGTAAACATTTTCACCTCAGCTGTGTTGTGAGACACCCTGTGGTCGAAAGAGAAGCAGACTAAAAAGACTACTGCTGTGTTTGCGTGTGTGTGCGCTCACATCCTCTTTGCCTGGACGATCTCGATGTAGTCTTCAGACCTGGAGTAGTATCCTTCAGGACTCAGAGCGCCCCAGAAGTTACTCCACAGCTTCCCATGTTTGGACAACATGGGCGCTATTACTGACCTGAGAGGGAAACAAACAAAAGAACGTGTCAGAAAACACTGACTTCCTCTCAACATTAGTACTACACATGTGTTCGGTCATATACAAGAAGGGTACTAGTGTGTTCCTGTGAGGCTGTAGGGTAATATAGAAGAGTAGGTATGTGTTGGAGTAGCAGGGTGCGCTTGTTAGGGTGTATATAAAACGCTACTAATGTGTATTTGTAGTGTAAAGGGTAAGACAGAATGGTACTAGTGTGTACTTGTTAGGGTGTAGGGTATATAAAAGGGTACTAGTGTGTACTTGTTAGGGTGTAGGGTATATAAAAGGGTACTAGTGTGTACTTGTTAGGGTGTAGGGTATATAAAAGGGTACTAGTGTGTACTTGTTAGGGTGTCGCGTAAGAGAAGGGTACTAGTGTGTACTCGTTAGATAGCAGGGTATATAAAATAAGTACTAGGGTGTAGGGTTATTTAAAAGAGTGGGTACTTGTTGTGATGTAGGGTTATACAGAAGAGTGTATACTTGTTGGGGTGTAGAGCAGTAGCGTGTACTTTTCAGTTTATACATCAGATTCCATACTTGTTTTCCTCGATTAGTATCCTCAGCGTGTCGGGGTTCGTCAAGGCCACGTCAGAGTCAATGCTGAAGTAGTAATCACAGTCCGGATCCTTCTTACACGCCTCGCTGCTCACAAACACACACACACACACACACACACACCACACACACACAGTAAGGTCCCGTACGTTGTCACAGACATCAACGTTCAACTTGTACATGTTCAGTGAGACAACATGAAGGTCTGCTTTAGACTTATTATTTATTATTATCTATTTGAAAAAAGTTTGTAGGATCTTATTGAGTAAAACAGAAAAGGGAACATGGAATCGGACATTTTGACATCTGGGACTTCTGGACCACATGTTGCCCTTTTCTCATCAGGCCAAAACATGCGTTTCATTTACTGTGGAGCTGTACATATGCTTTGGAAAGTCACGCCTCACTTGCGTCACTCACTCACTTGGTCGTTTAGTCGAATGTGGGAAATAAACAATTAGGAAACTAGTTAAATGACAGAAAAGTAATTCTGATAACTGTTTTACTACTTTAATTAAATTTACTGAGTAAAGCTGTCGGCTGCTTTTCTGATTTCTAACCCAGTGACAGAACAGCAAGAAAAAGCAGCTAATCTGCACATCTGAGAAGCTGAAACCATCAGGACTGTCTGTCGATCAGTTCTCTGTCGACCGACTACTCGTTCTGCAGAGTCCTGACAGCCTGATGCTGTCCAGGACCGACAGTTGCGTCTCTAACGTCTGTATGGGTTCTCCACTCACACTGCCATGTCTCTGGCCTTGTTCTCTTGCAGGTTCTCCTCTGGTCCGACCAGCCGGGCGTTGGGGAACAGCGCCCGGTGGCGCTCCCAGAACTTCTGAATGTGACGCTCGTGGTACACGACCTGGATCACAGGTAGAGTTCGACAGATCAGAACAGAACAGAGGGGAACAGATCTTTGTCCTGTGCGTGCGTTAGTATCGTACGTTGTTGTGGATGAAGAGGCGGATCCTCGCCATCGGGTAGTTGAGCGTCGTCAGCCGTTCCAAGAACTCCTCCATGAAGGGGTCGCGTGTTCGATGAACACGGCGACATACACCAGGGGCATCTCCTCATCCTGAACACACACGTATTTACATCAGCGTGGAGAAACTTTGATAAAACAAGAGATGTAACCATGTTCACCAGCGAGCGAGCGTACAGGCGTGTCGTTGAACAGCAGCAGGTCGTCATCGCAGATCCCACAGCCGTTCTCGAAGGTCCAGGCTGTGGGCACGTAGTTCCCCAGGTAGTTCAGCTGCAGCTGCAGAGACAGACAGAACTTCTGACACCTGGTCCACCTCACTTACCCTCTGACGTGAGTCGACTCACTGTGATAAAAGATAAAAAGGTGATCCAGCAGGACCGTGAGCTCTCATAACAACAAATCAATATAAATTAAATAATATTTTAGGAGGTTAAAAAGTAACTTTCACTCATTTTAAATGAGCTACTTTTACTTTTTCTAGAGTAGATTTTTATACCAGTAACTTTACTTGTATTTAGTAAAAATTCGTCAATGTGACCGTACGTTTCCTTAAGTAGAATATTTTAGTACTATTTCCACCTCTGGTTATGAGGCTGACCTCCTGCAGTGTCTCTGCCTCCCCTTCAGCTCTGCAGCGCCCCCTGAGGAGACTCTGGTCTTTGTCCTGTCTGAATGGAGCGTCTGCAGTTTGTGAACAGGCCGAAGCACCGAGCTCTGCTAAAATACTCCAAAGATCAGATCTAACTCGTCTTCAGGGCGTTCATCGCTGTGAATGGTCGTTACCTTGGTGGGTCCGTTGCCATGGATAACGATGGGTAGTGTGTCGTAGGCGACGTTCCTCGCTCTGACCTTCGCCCTCTCAAACTTCAAGACGACTTCATCTGACGGACAGAGACGTTCAGATTTAACATTCACAGAGGAGACCAGCGATGATATGATGCTGCTGCTGTGTGTGCGTGCGTCTCACCG